GGTTTACCAGTTGCTTTAGGTAAACCATCAATGGTTTTAACATATTGGAGATACATGATTTCTAACATTTAACTTTGGATGAGAAAGTTGGCCAAAAATAGTAATGAAGTAATTTGGGAATATTTAGTTTTTTTTTATCAACATTCTAATCTCTTTCTTTAAATTTGGAATTTTGTTACTATGGTGTTATTCAGCAGACCTGGGATACTTACTGTAGCATGGTTATCTTAGGAATTACCCAATTCCAAAAATGGTAAGAACTTGAACCAATACATACATGTACAAGAAAAATATCTTACTTTCTTTACCGACATTAAACCCATTCTGATACCTCCAATAAATGTTCAACTTACAATTTAAAACTGTTTGATGTAAAGATTTTGCAACAAGAATAATTTTACACACTTAGAAGATTAACAGGCTGCAAAAGATGAAAAACATTTCAATGTTTTCCATTCATTCTTTATTATACATATGGCCTAAATGATGCAATGAACAGCAAGTTTTTAAAACATGATACAGCTTACAGATCATACTAGCAACTTCATTGGTTAATAACTTATAAAACAAAAAATCTATAACGAAGATATATAAAATTTCAAAAAAGAGAGCTTACTTACAGATTTGAGCAAATTCATAAATAACAAAATATCACCTCATAAGTTAAGCAAGTGCTAGACATTACAAACTTATAAGGTATTACTTTATAAAATATCAAATTTGTAGAAGTAACAAAAACACTTTTTTATAGATAAATGTGCAATTGTTAATTCAGATCTGTTTCAAACATAAACAATAGTTATTCTGACCTTTATGAGCTAGATAATAAAGACAAATTGTACTCATGTAGTGAGAACAGTTTCAGGGTAAAGTAGCTTTTACAAGTTCAGGCAGATTAACATTATATGGTACTATCAAACACAGCTGTAAATGTTATCAATTTAATTTAATGATGAGAGAAATCAATGTAAAAACTGTAGATTTGCTATGATTTGTGAATTTTCTCCCCAAATATATGCTAAAAAGTTAATCTGATTAAAGACCTTAAAGAAACATTAAGTGGTAGAGTCATTTAGAAAAAAAAACTCAAACACTTTTTCAGAAAAAAATTCTAAAAATATCTATAAAAAACTACAGGGTGACCAAAGAGTCTGGAACCATAAGTGATTTGCAGCTTTTCTTAATTTCAGATACATGAGTGATTTTGGCACTGTCAAAGCATGAAAAGTTTGAGTTAATCCAAACTTGTTTCCAATTACAAGGACAACATGCAGAACACAATCTTTAAAATTCATTGAAATTAAATTAAATCACCATCATCTCCAATTCAGATCCCTCTTTCAAATAATTCATTCTCATCAGTACCTTTTTAATACAACCATGTTGTTGGAAAATAAGACTGTTACAGTGGTGTTTATTTAAAATCACTGTCTACTCTATTCCACACACAAAAAGTCATTTTACAATAATCTGTCTTTTGTATTCTACATTATATTCACAAACAGTAGCCAGCTTACACAAAGTTGAAAACTTAAAACAGTAACTTTTGTATCTATAATACAACAAAATACAATAAGATACATAGTGAGCAGGCTAAAAGTTAGTGATATGCAAAAATAAAAATGAAACACAGTGAAGCATGTACATAAAGATACAGATTTTCAGAAGAGCAAAATGAGATATGCGATAATAGTTATGTTAAAAATAGAAGTATTTAGATATGAAGCTAAGGAAACAGAGAGATGAGGTATTTTATGGTGGTGCAAGAAGTGAAGGAAGCATATGAACATGATACTATGAAGAAAGTGACATGTAGTAATGGTGACTTAAAGAAATAAAAGGAGAGAAAAGTGTGTAAAAATGCTGATTCAAAATGGTAAAAAATATGTAGTGAAATAAAGGATATTCATGTAATAATGGTGATATACAGAGATAAGAAGTACATAGTGAAGAGAAGGTGAAGCATCTAATAATGGTGATAGAAAAAGATATGTAGGTTCTTTGTAATACTGCTAGAGGTTGGGAAAAAAGGTGTTGTTATACTTGGAAAAATGGTTTCCTGGAAGTAAGGACAAAAAAAAAAGATTTTAACTTATATGGCTGAGCCTTTAGAATTATGGAGTGTTACTGACTGATTTGGTTGTGACATCCTAGTTTCTCACAAAATATATATAAACACACAATGAATACACATAATTCCAGTATAAACTGTTTTAGCTAGCTGAGCAATACACTGTAAGAAATACCTCAACATTTTTGTGTTTACAATACTGTGTATACATTAGTTAAAATTAAACTACAGTCCACACTTGTTTGGAATTTTGACTTATTTTAACAACAAGAAGATTCCAAGGTTACACTATGTAGATGATATTTTTTGAGTTTGGCCAAATAACAGTGGTGATTTCCAATCTTTCAGCAAAGAAGCCATCTTCACAAAACTGTAAAATATAAATCTGAATGGGAAACAAATAATTCACTCCCTTCTTGGACATAATTATAACTATAACTGACTCAAGGCCTATTCTTTCTCTCTAGCAAAAACATACAAGATCTCTCATCTATGTCCATGTTTTCTCATGCCATCACAAAATGTTTAAAATTTCTACTGCTAGCTAGGTTTGTAAGAATATCTTATCCACTAAGATAAGAACTAGAAATTCACAACATGTGGTCTATTATGAAAGCATTATGGTACCCTGTAAGTTTCATTGAACATGCAGATTTATCCAAGACATCTTTTCAAACATAATGAAAGAACAGAGAAAAAAAGAATAAACCACAAAATTTAGATCCATGGAGAAGGTTCTAAAGAGAAATAGATTTATCATCACAAGTATCCCAACACTTAAATAAATAAATCGAACATCAAACAAACTGGTCTAAAGGATTATTTATTATTTGTTTGTTCATTTGTTTTAGAGCAAAGCCACATTAAGCTATCTGCTGTGTCCATAGCAGGAAATCAATTTGTTTGTTTGCAATTAAACACAATGCTACACGATGGGTTATCTGTGTTGTGTCCACTAAGAGTATTGAAACCCAGTTTTTAGCATTACAAGTCTGCATATTTACCACGATGCCACTGGGGGTGGGGGGTGAGTGTCAAACTCCAGATTTCAGCATTATAAGTCTTTAGACTTATAGCTGTCCCACCAGGGAAACACCCTAAAAGAAGATAGAAACAGATGTCTATATAATTTTATGCAACTCGTGTGAAGAAGTTTACATGGTGAAATATAAACACAAGAATCACAGAACACAAAATATGTTGAGAGAGAGAGAGAAATGGACATAATGTCATTTTCCTACACTTGAGAGATTCTGACCACCGCATAAACTGGAAGTCACCTGAACTAAGCTACATCACAGAAAATAAAGAACAGTTGAAAGCTATGTAATTAACAGTATATCAAACATCAACATCGGCGACGGTCGATTAACACTAAACTGTGTCCTACAAGAAATACAGAATTAACTTTCACCCCATAAGCTGTGCACTAGAATAACTCTCTGTCTCCAAGACACTGTCCAACTAAGAAGGGAAGGCATATGCGTCAAATTGATATCAAAGTCTTTATGTCTAAGTTCCGAAGAGCTGCAGATTTAAATTTAATTTATTTGTTTATAGGCACAACCATCAACAATGTTAATTCAAACTCTACCAATGTGAACTATACAACTAGCTGTGCACAGAGCAAAAACAAATATCCAAATTTTTGTGATTATGTAGACTAGGCAAACATCACAGTATTACTTCAAGCTCTACCAGTATAAACTCATAGATCTACTTGTAAACAAAGTAGTTACAGAGATATCAGTTCTTTTACATTTATGTGTATAAAGTAACTACCAAAACAGTTTAATTAAAGCTCTACAAGTTAAACTGATACAACTAGCTGTGCACAAAACAGCAATAAGTGACATAATTTCCACCAATATCGACCGATATATAACTAATATCAACAAATATCACAATATTCTTAGGTACACAGTTAATTTAAGCCCCACTAATTCAACAGATACAATAGCTATACACAAATCAACAACACAATAATAATTCTGGGTAGGTAGACAAAGAGATCATCAACAGATAATTTAACCTTTATCAATATACACTGATACAGTTAGCTGTTTAGCCAAGCACAATTCCTCAATGTTTTTGGGTGTATAGGAAATACAACCTCAACACTTATTTCAAGCTCATTGCAATGTATACAAAATATTTCCTATAATTTTAAGATCAGAAACAACACTTATATATATATGTATGTATGTATATATAAAACAGTTTAAAACAACAATTCACAAATTAAAACAGTTTTACACACATCATTAAATTTGTTTATTGTTTGTACAAAGAACCTGAGACAAATGCTTCCGATTAAGGTTAAAAAAAAGTAGAATTGACATTTTTTTTAGTTTTCAGTTTCCCTTCTGAGTCTTGATCTTGCAAAATCTTCAAAAATGAGATCATCATCTTGAGCATCTGAGCAGTTAATGCCTTCCCTACAAATACATATCAATACTATGAAATACTGAATGTCTTAAAAACAAAACAAAAACATAATGTTTTTGAAACATTATTATGACTTAAATCTGACCTAAAGTCTAAATGAAAGCTATTTATGTAACTTAGAAATCACTACTAGGCATAAAAAAACATGGCTTTAATAGGCCTATACAGCATTACTTGTGCACATGGCTCCTAGACTTGTAACATGTGTTTAATTCATTAGTTTTATCTAGTTCATTAGTTTCAGTGTAAAAAGTATTGACTAAATAAACTATTTATAGATCTTTTTCACCCTTAGGTACGGTTTAGATCATAACTTCTATTCTTATCTGGGAAAATCAAATTAATTTATGAAATTTTCAAAGTCTTTGAGCCACAACTTTTGTGAATGAAGAGAGTTAAGTGAAAAATTCATGCAACAGTTTATTGAATCCACTCTTTTGAGTTAAGACTGATTCTGAAAATATCATCTGTTATCAGTAACCCTCAAACATACAAAGGAAACTGATGTTTAACAAGTCTTTATTTGGTATTCTAAAGGTTATGCTTAAGAGTAATAAGGTTAGAGAAATTACAATATTTATATTATATTTTTAGGATATTTAGTTTCACATGGTACTAAGAAACTGACATTACTTTCTACCATCTGACACATTGCATTATTAAAAAGGCTTTCATACTTTGTATTTCTAAAATTAAGATAATAATTAAGATAATTAAGATAATAAGATAATTTGGTATTCTAAAGGTTATGTTTAAGAGTAATAAGGTTAGAGAAATTACAATATTTATATTATATTTTTAGGGTATTTAGTTTCACATGGTACTAAGAAACTGACATTACTTTCTATCATCTGACACATTGCATTATTAAAAAGGCTTTCATACTTTGTATTTCTAAAATTAAGATGATATTAACAGACTGTAATGATTCTTATTACCTAATGTTATTGGTATCTAATAGATTGTTTTACCTTTTACACCTAGGTAATGTCACTTAACTGGTAGATTGCCATATTGTGCATTTGTAGATAATATTGTTCATCCTGTGGAATGAACTAACTTGTAAATAATACAGGCAATCTTGTAGGTGATGTGTACTTAGTATTTCCAAATACTCTTGTAAACTAATATTTTGTATTTCTAAATAATTTTGTCTATCACGTACACTGTCTTACTTACATATCAAGCTGAATTAAGTTGGTATCAACAGGAATATCAGTTTTCTCTTCATCCCCTTCTGGTGTAGTCTGTTGACTCAGCTGTGTGTCTTTGACTTTTTCAGGCATTACATGCATCAGAATAAAAGGAAGTTCTGCGACTACATCACTGTTTAAATAACAGAAGAAAAAAACATTATTTCAAAGACAAAGAGCTTTCAAATTAGGAATAGTAAAAACGCATATCCTCAAATTTATTTTTGATTTTTATATAATACTTTTTCATTTATTACTATAAGCATCTGAACAAAATTCTCTCTCTCTTTCAAAGTTTACACATGTAGATACACTTAGATCTTTATGTTCTATAAATATATTCTATAAAATGGCTTTAGATGACTATGATTAATAAATAAAAAAATCCTGGTAAAGACAACAAATTAGTTATTCTTCCAAGTTAATATTGTGAGTTCAGGTGAACTGTACATGTAACTATATATGAAAATAAAATATGATATGTAGCTTTGTGTATATGTATATAAGTACACATATATGAAAACATATATGGGAATTTTATTTGGAAATGACATACTGAAACATTAAATACCTAAGTATACTGATGTCAATTTAAAAGAGTATACTTTTGCTATGCACAATAACCAATTTTAAGTTGATTCAACGCTACAAACTATTATTTTGGGACCCAAAATCAGGACCTTATGGAAAATGTTGGAACTGTCTGAAGATTTATTACTCCTTGGATATGAAAATTTATATAGTGATATAATGAGTACTTTCCAAAAGAAGTAGTTGTACAGCTTCCATGCACAGAACTGGAGAACATGTCTCATCCAACTTCACAACCAATAAAAAGATTTTATCAAAAGAAAATTAATTATATAAATCAAAGTAAAAAAAACACATAAATTATATAATGAAACCAATTCCATATCATAAACTGAAAAAAAAATATATTAATGTCGTAAGTCCATACTTCAGAACACTACAACCTAAAATGCATTGAATCATTAATTGAGTATTCTCTATGGTCTACAAAAAAAAGAGCCAGCTATAACTAAAAAAAAAAAGCTTGACGTAAAAAAAAAAAACTCCATGTAACAAAGATTACCTGGCTTAAGAATCTCAAGTACAACAAGACCAAGATGCCAGATATACAGTGTAAGATAATGTCCTTAAAAGGCATTTGAAAAGTAAGTGGATTTTACCTTTGACTAAATTAGGGAACTGTTCATGAAAGGCTTCAGTGATGAAACAAAACAAAGAGAAGAAAAACTTATAACTGAACAGATGTGAAAAAAAATGGCACAAGATGCAGGAATGTAAAATCTGGATGAAATGCTAAAATCCTGAACTAAAACAGATCATCAATGATTACAAGAATACAAGTCAGAAGAGTCTGGTAGTTGAAGATGATGGAAATGAAAAGGAATTTGATACTTAGGAAATGAAAAAAAAAAAACATGAAATACTCAAGCCATCAAGGAAGAAAGTCTGCCAAAAGGAAAAAACATCAGGCAGAGGGAAATTTCTGCTTAAGTGTAAAGGAGGACAAGACAAAGTCATTGGATCAGGTCCAACTCACTGCAAACAAATACATGCAGTTCTCTAATCATACCTAAGGATGAAAAAGCCTGCAATGGTGATATCCCAGTGTAGTAATGATTCAATTCAAAATCACAGATATTTCCTCACACAAAAATGTTCCCATCTAAGGAAAAAAAAAAAAAAGACTGACTGACAATGCTTTCCAAGAAAAACATATCCATTTCTTGTAGAATAACAGCAAAAGAAACTGCAATGGCAATCAGGCATTGAATTTTCAAAACAGTAAGTCAAAAAAGGCTCAAAACTTGACTAGCTTTAACAACACATAATGTTACAACCTCTGAAGAACAACACTCAAGTTATGTACAACTCTGAATTTGTTAACCCTTTAAAAATAAAGAAATTGCAAAACACCAGCAAAAGCTATGAAGCAACATGGATAAGCTCATGGGATGTGAAGAAAAACTGACCTTCAAAGATTTTATAAATGGAAGGGAAAGATTAAATAAAAAGAGCACTACAGAAGACAACTAATCTAGAGACTATATGAACATGTATGAAACAAGTGATTACAAACATAATTTTCTTACACAGAACAAGAGCTGCACAACATCACACACTTCAAGTGGTGAATAATAACGGGGGAGGAGGAAGTAGGATGAAGAATCACAAAGGTTGATTTTTTGGAACAAATGAGATGTAGCTTGGGATTACAATAAAGGTTCAATATTGTATTTGAAGTTAGGATTTTAAATCTTGAGCTACTTCACAAACACTACAAGTTTCATGGAGCAACACTTTGTATGTTTTTTGTTGAAACAATATTACATAATAAATTGAATATCTTGTAAAAGACAGAAAAACCATTAACAGATTACAAGAGCACTGGTTTTAAGAAACTGACTGAAAAGTTCCAGATACCAAGTTAGGGTTAAGGACTGGGAGCTTAATGATAATTTTACATTAATGATAACATTTGTATACATTTTATTTCATTAGAAAGGGCAAATTTTCTACTTTATTTCAATATCAAGTATTATATAGTGTCATACATGGCTTCTTAAGTAGTTACTGGTGAATAAACAGCATTAAGCCTATTAATTACACCAGTTAAAAAATCCCTGTCTAGTTTTACCTAACAACACTTTATTTAAACTACAAACTACATAAAAAGTTGAACTCACCCTCCAAGTGGTCCTAAACACAATTTTACTTTCACCTTGTACTGCACAATAATTCCCAATTTTTCCTTTTGAGAATGATCTGTAATGCTAATGAAAATAACCAAAACAATATTAAATACATAATTAGCAATAAATACCAAAGCTGAAAGACAAACTATATTTCTCTGTGCACACTGTTTAAAAGTTAACTTTTTGACTATGGCTGTCACAGGTGTACATCATGAATAGTGTTACATTCAAATTCAAATTAAACAACTTTATTATTAATGTGTGTCAATAAACTTGGAAAGAAAACATAGTTTAGAATTCAAGTTCTCATGTTATGTAAAGTTTAAGATCAGAGCTCTGATTTCTCCACATCAGAATTTTCTGACGTCAAAATAAATAGTACATCTTGATACAAATTTGGCAAGCTAAGTAAAATCAGATCTATAGTATATATAGCTTAACAGACACAGCCTTGGTCCAATTGACTTGAAACTCTTATAAAGTTAATAGACATGGCTGAATATATTACATTAAAATCATTTTGAATAAGCAAGTCAGCTACAAATACAAGCAGATATAAAGTTGTGGAATAAAATGTATCAGAATTACATTTTGGCATTTCATAGATAGTGTGATACCATTGAAATTCAACACTTGGAGAAGAATCTGTAATAGCCCCTTCCAATGTAAAATATTCATCCACTCAGAATGAGTGAGGCAATTTATCAATTACCCATGAGCAACAATTACTTCAATTAATGTTATATGGCCCCCTAGTGGCATGTCTGTGGACTTACATTGCTATAAACCAGGTTTTCGATACTCGTGGTGGGCAGAGCACAGATAACCCATTGTGTAGCTTTGTGCGTAACTACAAATAAATGATATATGAAAATAATCAACTAATCAAAATTATTGTTTCTGATTATTATGAAACATGAACTCTAGGTAATGATAGGTCAGGTCATAACGAGTATAATAATAAAAAAGTTAATTTTATAAAGACAAGTAGGGATCAATAAATATGTAACCTAGCTAGCCATAGTAATATAGAAAGTTTTACGCTACAAAAAAGTACTGAAACTAAAATGTCAAAACTAGAAAAAATGAGTTACTTAAAATTTAAATTCTTTTTATCTGTACCTTGGAAAATCACTGTAATTATGTTAGTCCGAACCAAAGCAGAGATTAAACTTGTTTAAATTTTATGTAAATCAGTTTTTGTAGTTTTGACTTTCTTGTTTCAATACTTTTTGAAGCATTACAACTTTCAATATCAAGACACACAACAGTGTCTCATGTGGCCAAAACAACCTGCAGGACATACGGTGTTATTAACAGGAATGACAGTTTAGCAATTTTCCACTTTCTGTAGCTCGGAATTTAGTAATCCAAACAATCACATATTTTCAATGGATGTTTTCTACTAGACCCTTACTTCACATACCAAATTTCAAGATAAGAAATACACCAAATATAAAATCTCCAATTTGTTTGAATTTTTCCTATTTTTTTTTCTCTCCAACAAAAGTACGGAAACTTTATTTGAAAGAAAAACATACTTAACTTTCATGGATTTTTTTCAACTTTGATACACTGATAGATCTTTACAACTTACAATTAGGTTGTCAAATTTGGTTTAAATATAAGCCACATGAGCAAAGTCATTCAACAAATACAGCTCAATTTTGATGAATAGTTTTGTGCACACCTATGCAAAAAGTCATGTCAGTTATTGTTCTGACTACAGCTTCACCCAAGGGTAAAGGTAGAACATTTTTTGTCATTCAGATTAAAGACAGCTGATTTAGATCAGCAAAACTATAGGGTGAAAGTACATGGAGATACATATGTATTGGCTAGGCCAAGCAAATTTGATTAGCAGTTTGTAGCTCAAGTTTTCTAAAGAATTGTATGGGTGGATGGTTATTATTCATTATTCATTGCCAACTTTTTTTTTTGCTAAGTTTTATGAAATTCTTCTAATTAAAAAGTGTTTAGCATCATGTGATATTAGCATAAATAATGATGCTTGATATGGCTGTATGAACGCATGCAGGTGATGACAAGAAACTGTTAATTTATAATGGCTGGAGACGGCTTGAATGGGTAATGAAGAAAAACTTTAATATAACAGCAAATGTACAACGTTTCGACAAGGTTTTGTCCAGAGAGGCCAAAAACCCCCCCCCCTCCATTTTTTTCAGAAATTAATAAAAAAAGAAAAGAACAACAAGACATTCTTAGATTACCATGTAGTATCAAAAAAGAAATCTTAGTATCAATCATTTTATTTGATTGGGTTATTAATTAAATAAAAGCTTCTTTGAGGTTTTCTAAAGTTAACACAGCTGGTGTCTATTGCAATCCAGTTAAGACCTCAGCCAATACATGACAATTTCTGAGCTAATACAGCAATATGAATGTGAATTAAACATTTCCATAGTAAATATTTGCACTTTGTCTTTTTGCAGACATTCTCTAATAATTTAGATTTGTTTTCATCAAAGTCAGTATTGTTTAGGACACCTGCAGCTCTTATAACATAGATTGTTACAGAATCGATTTTTCATTTTTTAGAAGTTAGAATTTTCAAGAGAAAGATGTTTTTCATATTGTAGATGTCCACAAGGTTTTAGTGCCTTACATTGAAAATTTTCTTGAACTACTTTTTGTTTGTTATACCAATTAGTATAGCATAAAATCTTACCTAATAATCCCTATTTTAACAGTATATAAGTTTTAAGTTCATAATTTTATAAGAAAATATTTTAAAAAATCCTGAATTTCCCCTAGTGTGACACATGTGACACATTTTCTCTAGGTATCTTCTCATCTCTATTTTATCCACCACAACCACAGAAATTATGAAATTAAATGTAAATTACTCACTATAATATCATCATAGCTCAGACAAACCATAATTTTTATAGCCTTCAATTTCGTTTGGTTACATAGCTATCAAATACAAAATCAGTCCCCCTCTGCCACACCCACCTGTCACATTCTCTCTCTTTCAGGATTTGTTAATTGTTCTCTCTTACATTTAATTCTATATTACCTATAACCAATAGAAATTCTAGGTTTTCATATATCAAATAACATATTGTGTAACGTTGTGTTCTGAACACAGAATGATCAGTTTCACTTCTAATTTAACTTTGGTTCCTACGGGAATCACAATGGCTAGCTTAAATGCACTTGTAATGGCTATTGTTGCATGGTCAGAAAGCCAGAAAAATTGTGATTGTTAGAGGAAATTGTCTGCTTTTTGGTTGTTATCAGTCTATGTTCTTTGGTGCATTCTTTAATTAAGTAAAAATTATATAATGCACTACTACCATTAGTTTAAAAAAGTAGGGTTAACTGTCATTGATAGTCAAGAGCAGAAAAAAAGAATACTCGGGTAAGCACTTTATTTCTTGTTTTTTACATCTATTCTTTATTTATTATTATAAAAGTATCTAAAATGTAAAAATAGAAATCTCTTTAGGTTAGTTACGGTTAGATTAGATAAAATAAACTATAATAAAAATATTTCACGAGGCACACACGCGAGCAGCTTGTGGATAATGTAATTCAATAGCGTAATGTGAGCTGCATGTTTCCCAAGTGATTTACAACTTATAGTGCAAATAGTAGTTAGACACAGTTCAAAGGGTAATAAAACAATAATATTTAATTATAAATAGATGCATATTGTTACGAGTTTAAAGCTACTTAGGATAAATGAATGTAGTTTCACACTACATATGAAGTCATTCTAGAAAGAAAAGGAGGGTAATTTAGATTTATTTCGATCTTTTTTCATGGTTACAGGGTAGAGAAAATAACAGATCTAATATAAAGTTTTACTGAAAACAAACATTTGAAATGTATTTAGGAGGTTTTAAAGATTAAACAAATGAAATTTGAGATTTTTGAGATGAAGAAAAGTATTTTTAATCTTAATATGAAAATCATAGATGAATGGCAAGGCGTATATCAGAGCTACATTTTGACATTCTTTAGCATTTTACAAGCACAATGTTGCCATCAAAAATTGATTGCTTATGGAAACAGTAAGTAACAACCTTTTCTGAAGCAAATTATTCATACATTCAGATCATAAAGATGTGTTCAGATTGGGGATTTAGATTTCCAAGGTGGGCATATTCCTTGTACATTGGAAAACAAAAGAATGTGAATAAACTTAGGGTACAAGGACCATCATGAAAAAGACCAGCAACAAGTAATACTTCAGCTATGATAAGCAAAGTGCTGCATCTTGTAACAAGTGGAAATTTTGAAAAATCCTTGCCAAGAATTCTGACAAAAAACTAGATAGTGGGTTAACATATATTCATTTTAAAAATGTATAAAAGCAAAAAAAAGCTGGCAATCAGTAGAAATTTAAATAACTTACATGGTGGATGATGCAAGGTTTGTGTCTTCATCTTTCAACTGCCCATCTAAAGCTAGGCCACGTTTATCTCTGTTATTAGCTAGTAGTGGCTTTAAATAGTAAACTTTAGATAATGTAAACCCAGGACCCACTGGACAACCATCTCTGACAAGGTTACAAAACAATATATATTCAATAAAAACATATTTCACAGTAGTATACATTTACTCAGCATTAGAAAAATACTGACTTGTAAAGTTTTACATAAACATATTGAAGTGCATCAGATATGGTCAAACTGAAAGAAATATGAAAGTTAGAATACATAAATATATTTGAAATAACAACATAAAAATATACAATTTTCCCCTGAAGTTAACAATTCAACCTAAAAGATTAGCTTCTATCAAAATTTAATACAAGGATGGTATTACAGTGAATTGGGGCTTACGAGTTTTACTTATAGGGGGATTATTTATTTAGATCCTGATGATCCCTGATATTGGGCAAAGGTCTCATCTGCACTAGGTATTGCAAATGTAACATGGTTGATATAACATATTCTTCTTTACTTTCACTCATAACTTCTTAAAAGTAATTATGTAGTTGTCTTACACTGATGCTGTGGTTGCTTAACCCGCTCCAAGAACAAGAAGACTAGCTTGTTGGTTCGCCAGTTCTTCTGAACGATAGTAAAGTTAATTCAAATAATATAAAATAATAATAATAAATAAATAATCAGTGTTAGGAATAAAATAATGTTGTGTTATTAATCCCTCTCCTAAAATCTGATTTGTAAATGATGTAAATAAAATTCATAATAATTACATTCGATTACTTGATCTAGTTCACACTCTAATAGTCATTATTCATGAAAGTTGGTGATATAAATAATGCCTGGACCACTACTAAATGTGTTGCATCCTAGCTGGCCCAATGAGCCATTATCAGACAAAGGGCCTTGTCTGCCCTGAATGTTGTAGATCTAGCATGGTTAATATATTATAACATATTCTTTATTTTTACATACAAGTTCTTAGAATTACTAATTTTGGAGCACTAGGACATTGAGTTAAGTAAAATTAATGCTACTATTTTATTGAATGTTAGAATAAATTAATACAGATGTATAAACAAAGAATAGTGTAATTAGAATTCTAATCAATGAACACGATAAGTATAGTACAGTAATTATATTCCAATAGACATCTTAACTTTAGGACTTTTCATCATACTAGCAAATGTAAATTTCTTATCTGGTCTTACAGTTGTCTAGTTACTCATTTTTGTGAATACAGCTTTCTGCATGTTTCATGGTGTTTGCACCTATGGTTGAGACAAACAAAATGGCACTACCAAAAGGAACTGGATAAATCTAATTGAAGAAGATTTCAAACAACACCTCTACACACACACAAATTGTGTGTACTACCCATCTTGTTAAAATAAGCAAAAAATGTACTCTTGTCTGAATGAACTAAGACCTTTATCAATTTCAGGACACCCATGCAGGCCTTCTAGACTGCCAACAATTCCAGAACATTAATATGACACTCCTACTTTGCTGAAGAATACTACAAATTTAAATCCTAAGAACAGCTTCCCAAGCAATTAGGTCATTTAGGTATGACAGGGGGAGTTCCTGTTTGTAAAATCATTTGTTAATTTTTGGGAACAATACATATCTATAAAATATGTATTTTGGACCTATTTCAATTATTATTTAATTAATTAATTAGATCAAATGCTTCCAAAATAGATTAATTTTTCCATTTTAACATTTAAAAACTCAATACTATCCAGTGACATAATTCTCCTGGACATCCAATAAAAGTGTACCCCTACTTTTCTTGAAAACTGAAATGTCACTCTCGTCCCCAAGCTTGGGAAGGTGCATTTGTGAACAACTGCTACTGGAAGTTTGGTTAAGGAAGTGATTAATACTACTTCAAAAACTTTCAAGTCTTTGGTAGAAAGGACACCTTTGGATGATAGTCCCTTGTGATCCGACTTAAGATGATGAAGGTGCACCATAATCAAAAGAGTCAAAGGACCAATAAAGGTAATAATCTGATGTGCATACAAAGACTCCAAAGTAGAATCTCATGAAACTGAAACTCCAAACCCACCAATTACAGTGTGGAACTTGTATAACACCTAGATAAGAATTGATCAAACCCCTAAATGGATAAAAAAAATAACAGGGCCAAAAATAAGACTTAGATACCTTCAAAATCCATTCCAAACTTACAAAGAAATCCAGAAAGCAACATGTGTCTACCTTAGCTCTGGACTGGGAAGATGTTAGAATCAGCCAGTCATCCAGATAATGATGGAAACAAAATTCCTTGATGACAGATGTAAGAAACAATAGATCAGAGCATTCTAGTGAAACCAAAAGGGCTGAAACCAGACAGAAGAAAAATATTTCAAACTGGTAAACATGGCCAATTCCTTTAGACAAAACAAATGCAACAATTCAAAAGCATACAAATTGGATTATGAAAAAAATCCCCAATTTCTTACTTTCATAAACTACCACTCCTTCCTCAGATGGGACTGTTGGAAGGGTTCATTATCTTGTTAAGCTGAATAAACAGACACTGATTCAACATGGAAGTATCTAAAAGAACATGCTTGGAACAACAATGAGATAACATTAAAATTATGTAATCACTTACTCAACCACCCCTTGAGTATAAGAGATTATATTTCCTGATCAAAGAGACTGAGGTTAAATGGATCCACAGGGAAGAACAAAGGGAATAGAACCAGACAACTGAAGTGATAATAAATCCAAGAAGAAGTGATGATCTGCCAAGGTCTTTAAAGTCGACAAGTCATATATATTATCTTTTTCCAATGGACAATAAACCAAGCTAATCTGCTCCAGCCTCCAAAGGTTCTATGACTATAAACATCATGGGATCCAGCTGATGTCACTTGGATGTCCTTGAAGCAACTCCCCTTAGGAAGGGAGATGATTCCAACGTGTCTCTCATGCAAATCATCATGCATCACATCTCCACCAATAGGAGAATAATAGATTCACGTGATACATATGACTTCCTCTATGCACCTCTACCGAACTATTGAAGTTTGGTAGATGGCAGAAGCACCGGAAGTAAGTGGGGAGGAAGGGTGGGAAGTGTGAGTAGAGGAAAGTGCCTATTGCAAATACATTTATAGTATAGGAAAATTATAAATTCTGATATGGTACTTCCCTCTGCTCAAAAAATTAGCTAGAATCTCACATTGATTAGGAGGAGGGACTGGTGCGAGGGAAGAACAGACGTACCCCCCAAAAGCATCCGAAGGATACCTATGTAGATGAGAGAGTCAGATCTGAAGAGGGGAACTACACCACTTCTGATCCAGGTATACTCTTCAACCATATGTGGAATGTGTAAGAAAGCAGGGCAGAAAATGAGAGGAGCACATACGAGTGGGAGACAATGTAGTAGGAAAGTGATCCTAACTGGAGAAAGATATATTAACTCAATCCCTCAATAAGAAAAGTGGGAAAATGACCATGTGTCCCACAGTGTAGAGTGTCTAGGGTGTGGCAGACTGTACTCGTAAGTCAACTACATCCAAAACTTCCTTGCGGGGCACCAACATTCGCATGAGGGTAGAATAAGGATCATGAGAACCAGGAAATTGAGAACTTCTCCAATTCCTGGGTACTGCATAGGATTAGCTCTTAGCTATAGATCCAGGAATTTTACATCTGGTATCAAAAGTCTATCGCATGCAATCAACTCTCGCGACCATGAAACAGGTCAGGACCATCCAAAGGGCAATAACATCCACGTAATAAGAGAGAATGAGGGAAAGCCAACGATAGAACTGGAACAATCCCATGTATCCCTGTATTGACCCACAACACAGAAGGAGGAAATTGAGAAAGGAAGATAGACAACCCTGAACCTGTGTGAGGACTTGTGTTGATTGGTTCACTCGAAATAAAAAACCAGCCTGTGGGGTACTGACATCCACACGACAGTACGATGAGGGCTCCCAATCAAAGGGGTGAACTGCAGTTTGACATCTTACACATTGTATGGTTAATCACAAATCGGAGGATATGATGTCATCTACACTGGCAGAACACCACTACTTTACTCAGAACTGAATGGTTATAGCCATCTTATGTGGAACCCATCCAGCAGAGTGCCTCCATGGTTGACTTGGCTTGGAACTGGTAAGGACTCTCATACTCCACTAGAAGAAAAGGGGGGATGAAAATGCATTGAAGAGCCTGGAGGAATGTTGACACCCAAGACAGTGCAATGGTTGATCACAAAACCCTATTTTCAAAAGCAGACCATACTGATTTATTCAATCAAGGCATGGCAGGGATGGGCAGCTATCCCCCTTCTATTGTACCCAGGAAGTCCATGGGTGTTTCAGTTTGGGATGAGCCAGTTTATGAAGCAAATACTGTGTGGTTATTCACTTACAAGTAATTTTGTGAAACATCCCATCTCAAAGTTGAGCATGAGAAGCCATGGAAAGGAAAGCACTAGACAACATGGTGAATTTAAAGTTAAAGAATACCTGGTCAGACACCACTCACTACAGATTGGGATCCATGTAATGAAAGTATGAAGCATGATTAGAGGTAACAAAGAACAAAGTATGGTGGGAAGGGGTCAAGGAGGAATAAGCCAACTAGATCAAACGATGAACCCATTTGGTGATGGTAAAAGGGGAGAGATCTCTGGACAATGAAGTTTGCAACAGGATAAAGAGATGAGTACAAGAACCAGGCAAGGAAGCTATGCAGGAAATATAACAACAAAGGGCATGCACAGAACATAGAAGTCTATCCAGATCAGGACATGGGTAGAGATAAGAAATAGAGGGAAGGGAAATAGGCAAAAAAGGAGGAGTTATCCTCATGAGCCGCCAAAGTTTTGGGAGGGAAGGAACTATCTGGATAAAAGAAAAGATAGGTATGGTGGTAACATGTGCGTGCAACAAGTCAGACCGCTGTTGCCCACAGGCCAAGAGGAGAAAGAAATATGCCTTAAGGGACAGATGAAACAAAAACACAAAGGAAATAGGTTTGAAGAAAGATAAAATAAGAGAATGGAGGACCACATTATATTCCAGTCCAGATAAGCAGGTCGCCAAATCCAGAAGAAATGGATTAATATGGTAAGGACAGATGATATAAAAATCATGTGGTAATGGGAAAAATGAAAGGTATGCGATAAAGCTGCCTGATAACCTGAAATCAAGAAAACCAAAGATCCCCAGTCAAAAATCTATGTGATAAATTAGAAGATATCAGCAACAGTAGGGCGAGCAGCCGGAAATTCCTGAGCCTGGGCTCACTTCCATGGAAGAAGGACAGATGGATTGAGCCAAATGAAAAGATACACGATGGGAGAAAACAGATCTCCTTGCCAAGGACTGGACAAAAGCCAGGCATGAAGACAAAGGATGTGAAGTGTGGGATGCAGAACCGGTGACTGGGGTTGATGAAGGCAGTCAGGTAATAAAGGAAGTGGTACAGGAGGGAATAATTGTAGTTGTAGTAAATGAGGAAACCATGGTTGAGCTGGCCAGTAGGGTGCAATCAGAAGGTCCCAGCATGGAGTGGCATGGATAAGGGAAACTACCCAATGAAGCAATCAGATAGAAGAATAAACATATAGGAATTTGTGTGACCAATCCTGGCTGAAGGCATCTATAGCCAAAGCCTGAGGATGAAGTATTGGGAACCTTAACCCACCAGGTAGTCACTGGAACTGTTGATGGCATGTTATGCATCGTCAAGAAAAAGCTGTGGCATCGTGAGAAGGAGGGACAGATAAGGATTGGGAAGAAGAAGGATGGTGAACCGGAATCGATGGCACACTCGGCTCCATCTGAGATAAATGGGCTACCAAATGGGAAAGTGTATATTGTTGCTGGACAGATGCCACCTCAGACTCCAAGGACTCCGGGACTGTATCAAAGACAAAATGTCTTAAAAATGGAGCCATAGGCAAATCCCGGAGATAAGGAGCAGGTACAAGAGTTCTATATAAAATAGCATCACGACCTAAAAGGTCCCAACAACAGATAAACCATGTTTGTAAAGCCAGAGCTGAAGACAACAAACGAGCCAATGTGTAGATAAGGAGGGAGAGGATGTCCCCAGAAAATCCCTCAGGATTTCTGTGTAGAGCCTCAGACAATAGATGGATTGTGGAAAGGTACCACATAAGAGTCGTGAGGGCAAGACGGAGGCAGGAAAACTAGGCATAGGTGAGACTCGTTCCCCAAATAGGTAAAACCAAACCCAACAGTTGTTGGTCGAGATACGGACAGTCAGCCCTATGATATGCGAGGGCAGACTGATCTGAAGCCTGTGGAGGATAAGGCATACTAACACCATTGCCCAACTGTGAGGCGAATTGTTCATGATTAACCCAGGTGACGGGGGAAAAAAACAAATATAGTTGGGAAGTATATTCATGCAGTAATAAAGAATTTCCTTCAAATACTTTTGTTGACTGATACAACATGAATTCTAAAGTTAATGTCACCACTTTGGGTGTCTCACATTCTACAGGCACTTTACCACAGGTTTCAGGTGCTGGTGACCAGTCGGGAGATTTGTCTACATTTATTAACAGGGAGATTGAACGTTATATGGATTAACCTCTATCTCCAGACATTGCCCTTATTCCTTCTGAACCTGTGGAACCTGGGCAGGCTGACAAGGACTTTGATCACCTGTTTCCACCTTCTGAATTTGGTGTGGCTTCTCATTCCCATCCTGAGGATTCTGTTTGGCTTCCACAGTTTTTCGGACTTTATTTCTTAGGTATGTAATGTTCTTTCCCTTGCTCCTATATCTTGTGACCCATGAAATAAATGTGACTAGAATAAGGGTAATTGAACCTGAATGCTTTCAACAACAAAAAATTGAGTATGTTGAATTAAACCACTTTGAGAACTAATTCAATCTCAAACACTAATCATGATGAAAAAAAAAAGTCAGAGTGCAAGTGCTGCAAAATGAGAAGTGGTAGTTCGGTAGAGGCGCACAGAGGGAGTCACATGAGTATACTATTCTCCTATTGGTAGAAAAGTGATGCATGATGATTTGCATGAGAGACATGTTGGAATCATTTGATTCCAACAGGGGGGTGCAGAAGGCTTGTGGCATGCATAATAAAAAAGTTTGCATATAGAGGGCAGCAATGAATGAGAACAGCTAATCTTGTGAGTGGAGGGAAGTACCGTATTAGAAACTTTAATTTGACACAATGTTTCAGGCCTAAATCCTTCTCCAGGTGATGTCTTTTAAAGTCATATACACAGAACACCTTCAAATATGACAAAAAAATGTAATAATCAGAAAATGCGTGAAGTATGGTCAAAGTGTGATGTAGCAATACTAAGGATTCAATTGTTGTAAAGAAATGACATCAGTGAAAGAGAAGCAGAAGGAAAAGGTGCAAAGAAATATAAAGCTGATATGTGAGGGATAATGGTAAGAAAAGTCGGAAGATGTCAAAAGTAAAGTTACAAAAACTAAATTTCTTGTTTAAACAAAATGGAAAAATTATACCTAGAGTATAAATAAGGCATTATTCTATGCATTCACATGAATAAAGGTTTGTTGGTGTAGGTGTTAGAACAACGAGTCTGAGATGTGACAAGTCATGTTTGTTGTTTCAAAAGTGTCTTGAGACTGGAAAGTAAAGATTACGATTTAATATGTGTCGTCTGTGTTTGTGAAATCTGTCAAGAATTTTGCAACCAGTCTCACTATGTAAAGCAAGTTACAAAGGTCACAAACAATGCAGTATAAAATGGATTCTGAATTTGTAGGAACATTAAAATTGTTAATTAACTGAAGAGCATATGTTGTATCTCTAACATAGAAGGCAAGTTTTGTATGATGGGAGAAAGAATGTTGTCAATAAGTAGAAACAAGTTCTGCATGCAGAAATGATGAGTCTTCCTTGAGTCTCAGGTTTATTGATCTTGGGTAGTAGATAAAAGATGAACATTCTTGGACATGATTGAATAAGATTATGTCCTTCAGCTGGAAGGTTTGTTTTGTCGATAAGTATGTTTATGGTGTCAGTTATTTATGTTTGTATACTACAGAAAGGATCGTCACCAGTAACAAGTTGGTAAAATGATGTGTTGGATAACTGTCTTTCAGAGCTCCATACTACAGTAGCACCTCCTTTGTTGGCAGGTTCTATCATAATATCAAATCTTGATTTTAAGTTAGAGATGACTTGATGTTCCTCTTTAGATAGGTAGTCTGATGATGATGAAATAGAGTACTCAATATTCTTTGTTTGTTCACGACAAGTGGAAATGATGTAATCTACTGCAGGACATTTTCCCAATGATGGCACCCGTTTGCTTAGTTTCTTATTAATTTAGGTCAAAATGAAGGATATGTCTCTCTTGTTATCAAATGTAGAAGTTGTTGGAGAATCAGACTGGGTTTAAACTTTTGTATGTGAAAACATATGATCACTAGGGAGTGTATCAGGTACTGGTTTGTTCAAATGAGCCTGCAAGCGAATTCTTCTGAAGATTTGTTCAACATTTTCAATGAACATAAATTCATCAGCTTTAATTTTGGTTGGAGCAAACCCAAGTCCTTTTGATAAAACAGATTTCTCAGGAGTAGTTAAGTGGAGATCTGGTGGAATGGTGACTACATGGTTGTGTGTATTGTCTTCATTGTCAGGATTAGGGTTAACTTTTGACTGTGAAATTAGGCAAAAGAAACCTAAAGCGTGAAGTTTTTTAAGATTGATGTTTCTCAGTTCTTAATAAAATTCAGCATTAAAAAGATGAATTTTTTTCTTAAGTCTGCCTAGCAACATAATAGTTACAAATCCCATATCATCACGTCTGTTTAGGGGTGATTTTGTCCCTTTCTTTGCAAAAAAAATAAAAAAATGCTTGCATGAGAGAAAGAGAACATCATTTCAGTGAGACATCTTTTGCAAAAGAATTATGACAATAAATCCCCATTATGGCATCATATTAACAAAAAAATTAAGAAAAATATAGCAGGTCGATATACTGATACACCAAAATAATATCACCATATACATATTGTTTCAAAACAATATTGGAATCTTCCAATAAACAGACAATACTGAACACACTTACTATTTATATTACCAATGCTTGTCTTTAACTGATGAACAAATGTATCTCCTTTAATGAACTGCTATCAGTAAAATTCATACTTTATTTCGAATTTCTTATATATCTTTTCCAATGAAACTAATAAGAAATTTTGATATTAATCTAATTGTAGAAGGAATTGAGTTAAATTTTGATATTAAAACCAATACAATGTTCAAAACATTGATAGTGATTTAATCTTGTTTAAGAAAATAATTAATATACTATTAAATAAGATACTACCTCAATGAATAGGTATGGCCAGGCTTCCCATAAATGGATGGAAGCTGTTAAATGATTCTTCTAAATGAAACTGATATAGCTATACTTTTGTTATAATTTTATTTCAGAGTTACAGGATAAGCTTGTAATTTACAATAATCTGTACTGGGAGTTAATATTCTAATAATGTTGAGTCTATTTTTAATAAACTCCAATTTTGTTTTATTGCTTTTTATCAATCACCAAAAGACCAGTTTTACATTCACACACACACACACACATATTCTTTCTCCATCAAAATTTCTCACCAGCATTCCACAGATTTTAATTGCAAAATGAAACATCTGGTTTTGGCTAATGATGACAAAGACAATATAATACCACAGGTAAATTTAAATTCAATGTACTCACTAATGATGACAAAGACAATATAATACCACAGGTAGATTTAAATTCAATGTACTCACTCGCTTTCAACTGATGCTACAGTACACTTGTACTGTGCCGTAGAAAATAGACAGATATCAGCAAACTGTCGAACTGAAACATAGTAAAAAATGAGAACAGAAGCAGCTTTGTTACTAAAAATTAAATATATAAAACATAAATAGTAAAGTACAAATGATTAAAAATGAGATGTGCCCAAAAAAATCAAGAATATGCTTTTTTTTAACATATAATTTCTATTTATATTAACTTTATGTACATAACTCTCCTGAGGTTTCTCCTTTTAAGCCCTAACATATACAGTCATAAACAGTTTAAAATTATGCAATCCCACAAGTAGATATCCTGAACACACTGAAAAAAAAAGTTATTTTTAAACACAAATTCCATAAATTCTGGTCCAAAGTATCACAGTACAATAATGAATTTTGTAAATTAAAGCAATTAACAAAAGGAATAACTATATATATATATATATATATATATATATAACGTAACTAATTAATTTAATTATTATTACACACTAAGTAGTAGTTAGTTAGTA